ATCTAAACAGGTGTTTTGGCCTCTTTTAATTTTTTGCAGAACTTTAAAGCCTTTGGTCCCCACTTTTCCCTCTTAATCAAGTTCTCTACTGAGTCAGTATAAGAAATGTAATATCTCAGTCAGATAATACTTTACAAAGTTGCTATTATTATAACATTTATGTGTCCTCAGTTGGTCATGTATGGAATTTTCCAGAGGATTACAGAAAATACTTCTTTTCTTATTTCCCAGTAGAGAGTTTTTAGATCTTCTGTTATTTTGAAGCTAAGCTTTATGCTGGCAAAATGACATCTCTCTAATTACTGCAGTTTCATTCCTAAAAATCCCATGATTCATAAGGGTCACACACACACACACACACACACACACACACACACACACACACACAAATGAGTCTTGGAACGTTAAACAAGAGGTAAGAAGCTGTGTTGTAATTTTGTTGTTAAGCTTTAGTAATGGCCTCAGTGAGCAGGTTTAAAGATTGGATTTTACAAAGAATATAAATTATATCTAATAACAGGTCATTAAAACTAATTTGGGAAATAATGGTAGGATGCATTGTATTACTATAGAACAATCATATTATTGCAATTTGCTTTGTTCAGTGACCTCCCTCATTCTTTGTTCTTAATTCAACTAGAACTTTGAAGAATGTGTAAGTGCCTACTTTTTTGTCTCTAAGTATTGCTTTCTTATGTTTCTCTACTCATTCTCAGTGTCTCAAAGTTATACCATTTCTAGGTTCATGTATGGGAACCAGAGTAGACCAATTAGCAAATTCATTTATTAGGGTCCTGCTTACTATCCTATTGAAAAATCTAATCTTTCAGGAAAAATTCTATTGCCTTAATTACAGTTCTTAGTACCTATAAGTTAATAATGCATTTCAGCTTCCACAAATATGTTAATATTTTCCTATATCTAAAATCAAGGAATAGCATTGTCTATAATCTGTCGCATTATTATCTTTTAAAAAAGCATAAACAGAACTCTGCTTCATTAATTTACTATTGTTGCCTTACTGTAGACAATTCAGATATGATCTGTCTTCATGAGGTCCATATCAAACTCATTTAGGTTCAACAAATGATTATATTATTTATAGCAGATTACTTTCTTTGGGAAAAATAGTGTGTAACCCTCTATAATGCCCTATAATGTTTTTGAACTACTTTACAGTAGCTAAAACTAGGGTTCCTCTCCATGTTCTAATCTTTCTTGGGCCAAAAAACAAACAAATTTAAAAAGCAATTTTCTTATTCTGCTCCTTTGGCAAAGCTCATATATAAGTGATTATGAGCACATAAATGTTATAATGATAAAGGATTCTCTGCTGAATTGATTGACAATGACATACTCTTAAAAAGTGGTCAGTTCAGTAAGAGGTCACCTTTCCAACACGATAAATCTTTAAAAATTCATGCTTTTTGTCTTTGGTTAGTAAAGAACTGCCCAGTCCTTCTCTTCCAGATCATTGCTTTAAGCTTATCACATTGCATCACATTTGTTTGTATCATATCTCTGCCCCTGGCATTTTGTTCCCCAAATACTTTGGGAACAGGGACTGTGTCGTTTTTCTTTGTTACCCCAGTGGCTAGAACAGTCCTGCACTTTTTGAGACAAAAATTAGGATATAGGAAATGTTTAGGTAAACGAAACAAGCTTGGTCTCAATTAGTGTTAATATTGAATCTTCCTTTTGTGGTCACATTATTTGAATTCACACTGCATGTTTCCATTGGGTTGGAACCAGTGACCATGTTTTACATAATTATAACTTCAAATAGTGTGAATTCAGATACATACAAGCTCTTCAAGGGTTTCATTATTTACACTAATTTTGACCCATATCATTTATTGAACATGCATAGGGAGAGAAAATTGAGATTAGAGAATACTTTTTTTAACCTTCCCCCAGTCCTTGCAGGTATAAGTATAAGTAGTACCTTCATCTAAGGCTCCAGGATGCCTGTAGGTGCCCAGGCCCCTTCTCCATCTCTCCCTTCTTTGCCATAGCTGAGCCTCCTTTTACTTTTACTTTCAGGCTCTCCTTTTCAGTTCTAAGCCTCTGATTCCTTCAGGCTCAAATCATCAAGTCTTATGTGGGTCTGGCTCTTGAAATCCTTACTCTTTCCTCTGTCTGTTTCTTACAGGCTGTGTGTATCCTTTTAAAATTTCTGGGTGTGACTCAAGTCTGTCTTCCAGTTCCAACATCTTGATAGCCTCATTGTTCTATGGTCCTAGAGGAAATACTTGTTCCTCTGAACTACAAATCCCAGTGTGCTACTAAGTTTTCAAATTCCTATTATGGTAGGATGCTAAAGATTCTTGAAGGAAAAGGAGAAAAGGCATAGAGGACAGTTTAAAAGAGTACACGGAAGCAAGAGATAAAATATGAAGTTAAGCAAACAGTCCAGTTAGGCTGGATTATAGAGTATGAAAACATGAAATATGGTTAGAAATATGAAGAAAGATTGTAGATGTCCTTAAATTACAGCCTGAATAGTTTTTATTTATTTTAGTATTTTATCCTAGAGGCAATAGATAACCACTAGAGATTTTTGAGCAGAAGTACTTAACATTACCAGGCCTTTATCTAAGAAAAAAATTATTTTGGCAGCCATGTGGAGGGTATATTGGAGAGGGGAAAGGCTGAAAGCAGATTCAACAATTAAGAGGTTATTACAATGACAAGTGATAACAGCCTAAACTAAGGTATTGTGTGAATGAAGGAAAAAGGGATGTATATAGACTCACTTTTGGATAACTGATTGGATATAAGGTTGAGATAGAAGAATCAAGGATTACTCTGAGATTACAACATGGGTTACTGGAAGAATGGTTGTACCTTCGACAGAAAGTTTGGAGGAGAGATTGACTTTGTGGGGGTGGCAGGGGAGAAATAATGAGTTCTGATTTTGGACATACTGAGTTAGAGGTTCCAATAGGAAATCCAGGTGAAAATTCCAATTGAAATGAGATCATCTTTGGGTGCTAATGAGATCACCTAAAAAGAGAGAAGAGGGTCCAAAAGAGGCTCCTCAGGCAGAACCTGAGGCAACATCTGTGCTTAGGGTGAGAGAGAAGGATGATGAGTCAGCAAAGGACACCAAGAAGGAGCAACCAGAGAAGCAGGAGAAGCAGAAGAAAGCAGTGTCATAGAAGCCAGTGACTAGGCAAAAATAGTGTTGGGTTTCAGAATTCATTTGTCAGGTATTTTTAAAGTTGTCTTGGCTTTTCATTTTCTTTTTCATATATAATATATTATACTATATTATACTATTACATATTATACATGTGTGTATATAAAACATTATAAATACCCCAGAAATTTAATAATATGAAGTGAGTACTCTCAACTCGTAGAACTTAACACATGGTCAGATCTTTTGTGAGTGACCCTGTAAATGATCAAATGAACAGATTTCATCAGAAAAGCATGTATTGGAGGCAAAAGACAAATAATACATTTTGTATGTTTGGTGGAAGTCCTTCAGAAAGGCTTTATCTGAGTGCTTTGTGGTTTGCAATTCATGGCTTATGATTAGTTTCCACTTGAATGCCACAAACTTGGGGGAAAGCGGTAGGTTTTATTATGTCTGATGGCAAAATGGAGCATTGCTAGGTGTGCATAATAGAGTTCTCTGCCGTTGTACACAGTCAGTATCTGTTCTCCAGGGACCCTTTTTCTGTCACTACTATGCTCTAGCAGTGCCTTTGTCCCTCATTCCTCTAGGGCATCTGTGACAAGTTTGATCCCATTCATTGGGTCTCAGAAAGGCAATACTGATGCCAAAGTCTGGCCAGACTACAAATAAATCCCTTTTTGGACAGTTGCATTTATTGTCATTGTTTCTTTCAGAAGCACTTAGATCAGATGCATTTTCTATGTCTCCATTTGATTTCTTGATTTTTCTCCACAGTTTCTTTATGTCTACAAATGTCCTAGCCTCACAAACCATACCCTTTCTCAAAGTTCCTTTTTTATATTTTAATTGCAATATGTTTATAGTAACTGGGATTAATGTGCCTTTTTTCATTATGGTCAGCATCACCAAGTTGTCTAGTACCTCTATTTTATGGACCCTTTTTAAAAATTAGCATTTTTCAAGTTGAGGCTGCCGTTTTTTGATTATGCCTGCTATTGTCACACTGTTGGAATTCCGTGGCCTGTTGGCATTCATTGAGTACTTTTATTGAGTGCTAATTATGTCCATAGCATTGCAAAGAGCTTTGTAAACCCTAAAATATATTTAAATTATTATCATCTGTGATTATTATTATTTATGAACTAAAAAAACAGTTCAAATTCTACTGGTTTGCTAGTCACCTCAACTAGTATTTCACCTTTCTGACATAGCAGATCTAATTAGTAATCTTCGCTTTATTTTCATGTGATATTTTTAGTAAGTGCCATCTGTTTCGCTCTTTTGTGTAAATGATAATGTCTTATTATTATTATTAATTATTATGCCTCTAGCCTCATTAATGGGAATTATTTAACTTTCTTTCTGGAAAGTTTCCCAGATTTGGCCTTCCCCTAATATTATGTGTTTGCTCCAAATGGTCACTAGTCTTGGTGGGGAGAAGACACTGTATTTTTGACCTCTGCCTTAAGCAGAGGCAATTTATAACATTCATTATATTGACAAATCACAGTTCTGTCCAGATTCACATGAATGAGAAGGATAATCGCATGCTCTGCATAGACAGAAAAGTGATCCTTTGGTACATACCTAGAATTTTCATTCTCATTCTGAAGACATGCCTTGAGATGGTTTCAATACTGTATCCAGCACAAAGACTGATATACTCTTGCTTTAGATCCTGCTTGTCCAACCCTAAATTACGGAGGGTTCTTGTCTCAGAAAACGTTCTAAAACAAGACTCCCTAGTTTCAGTTCTGTTTGTATCAAAGTTAAGGTTTTCTCTTATTTTGAAATCAAGTAGAAACTCTTTATTTTTTCCCCTTTGACACTGTTTTTTTTTCTAATTTCTCAGGTTGTTTTTGTAGCCATTTTGCTTCACAGTCACCTGGAATGCAGAGAACCGCTTCTCATTCCAATCCTTTCTTTGTACATGGGAGCACTTGTCCGCTGTACCACCCTCTGCCTGGGTTACTACAAGAACATTCATGACATCATCCCAGATAGCAGTGGACCTGAACTAGGGGTATGTTTTGATGAGTACGTGCTGTGATTATCTACAATTTCACCAATATCTCTATACTCATGTTACCACAAAATAATAGTTGTTTTAATTCCACCCCTGTAGAGTTGAAGAATGGATGAAGAATCCATTTGTGCCTTGATCACCATGAGAAGAAGATTTAGTATGATTATTGTAGCTCATGTTTACATAGTGCTTTGAGGTTTGTTCCTTGTTTTTACCGGTGATAAATGAGAAATAAATAGTAAAGCACTATGAAAATATGAGACTGAGAGAAAACCAATAGAATGCTCCATTCGCATCTTCAAGAAAAGCAAGGGTAGCTCCAGATATTGAACATAGTGCCAAGAATATAGTGATTAATAAATGTTTGTTGACAGACTGATTGAAATCCCCGTGAAGACTTAAGGAAGGACATAGATAAGAGTCACACAAGTTGCCCCATCGTGGATAGGTTATGATCTACATCACTGGAGCAAGTGCCCATCTTGATGAGCTAACATACAGTAAGAGAATATTTAAAGGTGACAGAGTGCTCTCTTCAGTCAGTCAGTAAGCATTTAATAAGTTCCTACTGCTCTCAATACTATAACCCAGGTAGTCACAGCCTGAAGCCAAATGCTGAGTGATATTCACATGGAAGAATACTTAGGAGCATTTTTAATTAGTATCCTGTTTATGCTTTGTTTCAAAGATGAATTTTGTATTTGAAGAAGCAAAATATGCTGTCATTTAATTTGTTACTGCCTGCACGTTAAGTGGTGGTTTTGTATTTATAAGTAGATTGAAGTGGCACACATCTCGAATCTCTCAGCAGGAGCCCATACTGGGTCAGTGCCTTCCAGTTGTAAATTGTTTAGCACCTGCTATGTGCCGAGCACTACACCACGTACTGTAGCAGTTACAGAAGACGGAGTTATGGTCCCTGCCCTCAGGAGACTTGAAATTCTTGGATTAATAGTTCAAGATGAACATGTATGAAACAATTAAAGGGCAAATCTAAGCAATATTTGGTGAAGTTTTAAATTGTATGCACTGCTAGGCAGATATTAAGGTGAGTTGTCAAGCAGCTGACCTTTGAAGGTTGGGTATAACGTAACCAAATTATAGCGTCTTATAAGTATTCCAACAAATAATGGGTTTTCTCAATTAAAGCATGGACAGAATGCCAGTTGCTGAGTTTGGTAATTCATAGTTTGGATTAAACATGCTAAACTCATAGTATAATTTTAATACTGTGAAAGAACCTACGTAATACTTCGTAGAATATTACGTAGAATATGGACTACTTGGACATCAATAAAGAAGCTGTTGATAGTATCACATCAGTTACTCTTATCAAGATAGCCAAATTAAAATGACTTCCCAGTAATCAATCCATTACTGTCACTCACCTAGAAACAGAAAAAATAATTGTTTTAAAAATGTTTAATAAAGGGCAATGTCTAATAGGGATGGGGAACCTATGGCCCTTTAGGACCTCGAGTGCGACCCTTTGACTGAATCCAAACTTCACAAAACAAATAGTGAAGTTTGGATTCAGTCAAAGGGCTGCACTTGAGGACCTAGAGGGCTACATATGGCCTCAAGGCTGCAGGTTCCCTACCCCTGGACAGTCATTATGGAACTTATTCTCTGGGGGGAAGCAAGCAAGAAGCTACATAAAAAATGGGCATCATGGGGGGGGGGGGACTCTTTATTTTGAAACTCTTTAGCTATGTCATACTTACTAACATTTTACTAAGTTATTTTGCCTTCAACCTGCCTTCTATTTGGTTCTTAATAATACCGGTTATTCCTGTTAGATATCTGAAATTGGGAATCTACATCTTACTTCCCTGTAGTTTCCTTAATCAGGTTAAGGTTTAAGTTCCTTGACAGGTACTCACTAAATATAAAATAAACCCCAAATACCCTTTATTGTTATGTCCTCCTTCCTATTACGCAGTTACTGGCCAGACAGTCCCATCATTAAACTGAGACCAATTTCAAACTTATTCTTCATTACAAGCTGGAAATGAGATCCTGGCCTTGGTAAAGAAACATGTTTCCTGCATGGAAAACAGAATTTTGGATCCACTTAGCCTGATGAGTGTGCCTTGCCAACTGTATGAGTTAATTTCCCATAACGTTCTATGTTTCTTGGCTCACCTAAGGAGACCTTTGTCCCCTCCATAAATTTTAAGAGTTACTAATGAATTGATTGATTCTTAGAATCATAGGAAGAAGGGCTTTTAGCTAAACCTTTTAGTTCTTTTCTGCAGGTAGAGTTGAATAAGCTTCTGTTTTCACTTCTTGAAACAGGGAGATGCTACAGTAAGGAAGATGCTGAGCTTCTGGTGGCCTTTGGCTTTAATTCTGGCAACTCAGCGAATCAGCAGGCCCATTGTCAACCTTTTTGTGTCCCGTGACCTTGGCGGCAGTTCTGCAGCCACTGAGGTATGCTCGTCATTTCCATCTAACAGTAGTGAAGGATTTACAAATGTATGTATGGTAATCAACCCGTTCTTGTAATTAGAATTAGTGTGGAACCTGCCTGCTAGAAGACATCAGGGTATCACTTAAGACTTTTCAGAGGTGGGGGAGACCTTAGAAATAGTCTAGTCCCACCCCTCCTTTTGTTTTAAAAATAAAGAAGCTGAGATCCAAAAAGGTGATGGTTTTTCCAAGTTCACCCATCTAGTTTGGGGAATTAATCCAATTATTTTTTTCTATGCACCATACAGTGAGTTCATTACCTTTTCACTATGGCTGCCAAATTCAATAACATTTATCATATAATTGCACATAAAGGTAACATATCAAGGGAGGCTTGGATTAAACCTGTTCCCTCACATTTCACCACATCGTACCATCTCTTAAATGTCATGGACAGTGCCCTTTTGGGCAATATCAAGTCTCACCCAAACCTGTTTACCTTATTGATTCATCTAACCCAATGCTGGAAAAAAATATAATTCAAAAGAGAGAGAACGGAACCATTTTTCTTCCAAGTCTGGTGTGACTAAACAGCATTACTTCATTTCTTCTCCAACACTAAGCTCTGAGGAATTAATTCTGTCCTCTGTAACTACAGTTCTTTAAGGAAAGAAGTTGGCTGCCTGAATGTTTTAGAAACTGCTATTTCTGGACATGTTGCTTTTGAAAAGGAAGGGGCAGGGCTGAGCACTGAAACGCCTTGTCAGCATGTATCCTGTCCCCTGTATCCTGCCAGTTTCCATGAACTGGGAAGTATCTCACTATTGGCATGGGAGGAAAACAACCTCACAAATCAAGAGCATATTAGCCTTTATGCCCCAGTTGGTTCCTGGATTTTATTTTTAAAATGATGGTTCTCATCTTGGGTGGTTTCTGTAACAGCAGCTTTCCCAAAAGCATATTTCAAGTTGTCCATAAAGAAAAATGTGACAGCCAGCCTTTGCCCATGAATTGGAATTCCATCATCTCTTAAAAAGAAAATCTGGAGCATAATTAAATATTAAAGCAATTTCTAAATTAGCCCAGAGGGAATCCAGGCCACATAATGAGATGAGAAAGAATGTAATATAAAAAAGAAAGTTTGGGTTTTTTTAATTTTTTTGTTTTGTTTTTAGCCATAGCAAGGGAGCTGTTTGCAAGGCTAGTTGTTTTCAAAGGTCATAAAGTCTGTAATACTTTGTACATTCATACCAAAGTTATCTAATCAGCAATCAGCTCAAAAGGACACTATAATTAGGCAAAAAATTATGCCTTAAAGCAAAAAGTCATGGAGTAATTTTTCCATAATCTAATTAAAACACAACATTTCAATATCCAAAAATCCAGAAGGAATCAAAAAATACAAAATCCATATACTAAAGCTTTTGTAGTTTATTCATAGGCAAGCTCCACAGTCTCTCCTTTACTTATACTTTAGATTCCATTCTTATTGCCGGTTTGATCATCTGGCTTTCTATCACATAAGCAAATGGGGGAAATCTACAAACAAGTGGCAAAAAGCAGCAAAAAATGACATCTGACAGCCTGGAAACAAAGGAGGACAGGGGAAATTCGTGAAAAACAGCCCCAGGAAGTCTGAAAGTCTAACACTTTTATGTGTTATGAAAGTACAGCAAGTGTGGGCTATGAAAGTTGAGCATCAGACATCCCTACACACTGCAGGATCCCTTGTGAAGCATAAATTTATTAAGTCCCAGGACAATCATTGGTGACTGTGGCATAGTTTTGAGTCATCCAATAAGAAACTGAATTTTATTCATTTAGAATATTTTTGAGCAGCTGTGATAGAGTGAAAATAACACTAGATTTGGAATCAGATATATCTGAGTTTGAATCCCAGCTCTGCCATTTGCTCTGTGCAATTTTAAGCAAATAGTCTCTCTTAAATATCTCTTTGTCTCCCGTTCCAGTATCTGTAAAAAGAGGAATAATGTGATCTCTCTTACCAATTTAATGAGGCTGTTGTGAGAATAAAGTAAAATAATGGGTAGAAAGTACTTTGTAAGCCATAAAGTGATAAAGGCCAACTATTACTATAACTACTGCTATACTACTACTGCTACTACATGCTAAGTACTGTTTAACTTTCCAAGGCAGAAAATATTAATGGATTTTAGAAGAACTTCAATGTAAGAAAAATGGCTAATTTTTTTAAGCTTTTAGCAGTATACAAGTAAGTTGCGATTATGTAGAAAATTCACTTTTCTGGAAACCATTCCTCAATAACACTAGATATTAATTTCAAAATGCCAATGTTGTCCTATTCATTTAATTCTACTGTTGTGTAGTAATCAATAAATAGCTTAGAATCAGCTTAAGCATGGGTCAGTTTGAGAGCTTTGTTGTTGTTCCTTAAGTTATTGACATGAGGCAGTGTGGTGCAATGGAAAGCATGTCAGATTTGGTGTCAGTATCTACATTCAAATATCAATTCTCCTGCCACGTGACCTTGAGCAGACATTTAACCCCTCCAGGCCTTAGTCCCTCAACTCTAACATGCGGGAGAAGATCTAAATCTATGATCTTGTGATAAAAAAAAACTTCATTTCCCTAGAGATGAGCCATGATTTTCTGGTGGAAAAAAAAATTTAATTTTCTAATTCACTTTAGAAATGATCTGTATCGAACAGGTTGTCTATGACTGCAAGGCCATGGTCAAACGTTAACTGTTTCCATCAGCATATCCATTCTAGTCATTAAAGTTACATCAAAGTAAACATTAGCTGAAGAGTAGAAAGAAACTTGAAATTTAAGGGTTGGGTTTTTTTTCTGCCCTGGGGTTAGGTCAGGGCTTAGATTATACCCTACTGGGACAGATTGCCAGATTTCTTAAACAAATGTGATAGAATGTGGGAAGAGTCAACATTGCAAACGGCCTATTGGACCCAATTCAGATGAATGAGTTTCAAAAGCTGCTGCTGCTCCAAAGATCCTTTTTTAGCGGTGCTGTAATTCTTTTTTTTATATGATCATCTTACATAAAACAATCAAGGAAAACTAAATTGCTCAAAATGTTATTGCTTTTCCTTAGTATAAGATTCCTATTAAAATTCTCACAATTAGGGGCAACTAGGTGGCACAGTGCATAGAGCACCAGCCCCCAATTCAGGAGGATCTGAATCCAAATCCGACCTCAGACACATAACACTCACTAGCTGTGTGACCCTGGGCAAGTCACCTAACCTCGTTGCCTAAACCCCCCCAAAAAAATTCTCACGATAGCAAAGATTTTGCAAAATTTCATGGTGATCTTTGGCCTTAATGACAAGGTATTCTAAGATAATTTTAACAGGTGCATGCAAAAGGAACTAGTTTTTTATTTCTCTGTTGGAACCTGATGACCTAAAGCCCAGGTTAGCTAGCGTAGAGACTATGCCTAATCTTTAGCTGCATTTTATACTTCTGAAAAACAGTCTAAGTATTCTCTTTTCTGTGGGGAGCAGAGTTTCTCCTCTTGCTGTTTGTGAAGAGTTAATCTCTCAGTGAGGTGTGATTTCTCAAAATTGCTAAACCTGAAACATTCATTTTGTAACATCTCAAAGGGCAGCTTTTGAAGGTTCCTTTGCTGATGCCCAGACTAAGTCTGCTGACTCTTCCTGTCTAGGCAGTGGCAATTCTGACAGCTACATACCCTGTGGGTCACATGCCGTATGGTTGGCTGACTGAAATTCGAGCCGTCTATCCTGCTTTTGACAAGGTGAGTGTAGAGTATCTGTGGTGTAGAGTATCTCTCATTCCTCTCCCTTAATGTCTCTCTCTCTCTTCTTATTTCTCCATCCCTCCTCACCTCTCTCTCCTTTCCTCTCCTAATCTTCAACTCTCTCCCCTTCTGTCCCCTGCACAACCCTGATCCTTTCAATTTCATCTTGAGTATCAAAGTTATTACAGCATTTTGGTAATGTTCTAATCTAGAGGCCCAGACTTGGTTGCCAGGTAATTGAGAAGGATTTTTCTTCAGGAAACATAAAGCATCCTAATAGTGCAGTTATCCCTGTGACTCTCTATTAAATCACCTTAGGTTACTCCTATTAGGAAATTAACCTAGATACGCAAAGTGCGGGGGAGGGGAGGGAGCAGGTTAATATTGGAATTCTGCTAGAATTGTGCTAGATTTCTGCCTATATAACTATCTAGAGATTGACGGAGATGCCATGAAGATTGAATGAAATGACATATGCAAAACACTTTGCAAACTTTAAAGCACTATATAAAAGTCAGCTATCCCTATTATTATCTAAACTAAATGCTTACTTGACCTTGCATTGCACAGGGAGGGGTAAAAGCCACAGCTTAAATTCAGAAATAGAGCTTCAACATACATTTAGTCCTTGGGCTGTTAGGCACATGAATGTGTCTCTGTGGAAATGTGCTCTTTTTTTGCACAGCCAAGACTCTTTGGGTCTTGACCTAATAGAAGTATACCCAATAAAACCCTTAGTGGCAGTATCCACTTACTTTGGTTCAGCTGTCATAGAAATCTATGAGGCATATCCTACTTTTGGACTCTTCCCATTATCGAGTTGGCTAGATTTTAGAATAATCTTGTGTAGGTACAAATAATCTGTCCTGAATTAAACATGAAATGGGTACCTAAAACAAACTTATTCCCAACCACTACAAATAATAATGAGGAACAATGAAACCTTGGCTTTTGTGGAGCATTTTTTTGGTAAGAATTTAAAGCAAGGTTTATATCATTATCCATAACCTCACCCTGCTCCTGTGAGATAAGAGGTGATAGTTAATGTGTTTGTATGTCATTGTTCCAGTTGGCAGAGACCTCTTGAGTTCTGGTCTCACTTGTGCCAAAGCAAAAATTCATTCTCTAACATCTCCAGCAAGTCCTCATTCAGCCTTTGGGTAAAAGAACTCCAGGGAAGTGGTGTTCCTTTTGGGATAGCCATAATCATTAGGAATTTTTTCCCAGCATCAAGACTAAATCTATCTCTTTGCAGCTTCTGTATGTAGCTCCTCAATCTGCCCTCTGGCGCTAGTCATAACCTGTTGAATTCCTCTTTCCAATGGAAGCCATTCAGCTACTTGAAGACTGCTGTCATGGCCTTCTCAGAGCTTCCCTTCTTCAGGCTTAACATCCCCAATATCTTCAACTCATCTTCATAATGTCATACTCTTCAGGCAAATTTTATCATCCTGGCTGTGTACTTTTGGGTGTTCTCCAGCTTACCAATGATGTTCCAAAAATGTGACACCCACAACTGAATTCAGAAATCCAGACCTGGTCTGACCAGGGCAGAGGACAGCAGAACTGTCACCTCCCTAGTCCTGGATAGTAGGCCTCTCTAAAAATAACCAAAGGGATTTGCTCTTGAGCTGTCCAATCTTACTGCTGACTCCGATTTATGCCAGGAGTTAGTTCCCAAGAAGTCATTTGTGATAGTAAAAGAGATATCAGAGGTGACCTAGTTGATCCCAGAGCCACAGACTCTAACCATCCTTTCAACCTGCCCTCTTGTGGCCTTCAAGCATTTATATTTAAAAGGAATAGCAAGTTGTATATAATAATAGATTTGCAGTTTCATGTACAGTCATCTTTTTTCTATTCTGTTATTTTATAGGAATGCTTGTTTTATTTCTCAAGTTCAGAATAAAATAAATTTAAAAAATTGAAAGCCTCCTGGAATAGCATACAGGACTTAAAATGAGCAAACCTCAGCCTGGTCTGTCCAAATTATCACAAAATATTGTTAACTTGAGTTGTCTTTCATATTGCCTCTATAAAATAAAGATAATAAGAAAGACTTCAGAAAGCTTCTAAAAAGGATGATGGGCTGATGAGATCCTTCTGTAGAGATATTTCTACACAAATAGAATGTTGATTACTTGTAACAATAGGAAAGAATAACAGAGGGTAGAAGATGAAGAGCCTGCACATTAAGATCAGAAAGACGTGGCCTAAAGTCCTACCCTGACACACCCTCGCTTTGTGACCCTGGAAAGTCACAGAAACTATCTTAGATGCCAAGATTTAGAAAAAAAGGCATATCTGCATGGTTAGGGAGATACATCATGAGGAGTTCCCTATGCCAATTCCAGACTCATTCCCATTCATAATAATAGTAGTTCACTCAGAGAGCAATGAGAAAGTGATTTGAGTGAAAGAGAATCAAAGTTACTGCTTAAAAAGCAATTCTGGCTACTATAAACTGGCTAGGTTAAAATGCATCATCCAGTCAAATCTATATTTTTGTGAAATAATTATATGAGTGATTGGAATTGGATGATCTATCCCTGGCAAGAAGTAATCTCATGACAGAAAATGTGTGTGTAGAATGGATTTGGAAAGCCAAAAAGAGAAGGTGGAAGAATTAGAGGCTGGGGTAGAGATGGGAGTCTCATATTTTTAAGTAAATTCATCAGAATAAAGATTTCACTTCTACCTTTCAGAGAGTATTAGATGACAACTAAACCTACTGGCATAGGAGGTACTAAAATGTCAAAGCCTCCTAGCTGTGAATGTTTCATTTAAAATGGTTTTTGGCTACTATAAAATAATAAAGCTGAACAATACACACACTGTAGGGTTTTGATCAATGGATCCAAGAAAAACATTGTTTTATTCATGATATTGTATCACTCACGTTTAAGCCCAGAGGATGAAAGCTTTGAAAAATCCTTTTAACAAGCACACCTCCAGCCAGAAACTCTTGTTTGTTTAGAATCCTTCTAAAACCCCACCCATTGTTTCCAAATATTCCAGTAAGCTATAACCAGTTCCATATATGTGAACACTGCTGCTTATTCACCATAATGGAGACTGCCTCTACTTTATTGGCAGCTCAAATCTTTGGCTTATTCACAGATTAGAGAGTAAGAGAGTTGTTCTCACAATTTCACCAAATCCAGCTAAATGCACACTGAGAGGACTCTGGGCTAGTACTGACTCTTTAGGGATTATCTACACTTGCCATTTTTCAATACAAGGCAGAATTCCTTTTAAAATAGAGCAGACAATTTAGGGATGGAACAAGGACTAGAGCTATGATTTCCTTAGTATAACAAGCTCCTACATGAAGAAACTCAGTCCAGTGCAGTTTGGCACCTTGACGTATTGTCTTGCCCATTAGACCTGCTGCTGGAGGGCAGATCCTGGGGTTTTTTTTGCCATTCTTTGTTGTTCCAGCACCTAGCACAGTGCCTGGCACATAGTTAGCATTTAATAAATGCTTGACTGACTAGTTAACTTATAGTCTTAGAAAGTTACATAGAGTCTTGAGAGGTTGGATCTGCTCAGAGTCACATAGCCAGTGTGTGTGTCAGAGATGGGACTCGAGTCTTTTGGGCTTCAAGGCCAGCTTTCTATAGACTACATCATGTTGCCCTTCTGTTTCTGTCTCTGTAACTGTGTTAACTGCCTCTTTGCCTCTGTCTCTGTCTCTCTGACTCTGTCTCTCTCACTTTAACAAGTAAAATATCTTTGACAATCGTGACTGAAGTAAAAGAACTTTAAAAGTCTCTGCATTTTATGCCACATTTTACCCTCTCAAATGATTTTCATGATCATGAAATCAGAATGAGTTTCTCTGACTCTGTTAGTATTCCTCCTCACTAATAGTTCTTTGCAGGAACTGACTGAAAAGCTTTTAGTTCTTTTCTGGTCAGGCCCTATTACCATAATCTTTCTCACACACTGGATAGCTCTTTTAAGACTTATATAGTGATCAGACCAGGTGACCCCCAATCAGCACAGTGCCTGGCTCATAGTAAGTAAGCACTTCAATGCTCAATGACTTGACTTAACTCCATCAGACAACAGTCATGCATGTGACTCTAATGACCAGGCCAGTAGGGCCCCCTTTTATCTGAGAAGCGTAATATTATGTAGAATGAAGGTCCAGCGTTCATCACGTATTGTGAGTCACAGAACTAAAATGTGGAGGATTGCAGTTTATCCTAAATCAAAACCTCCTTCTAAGGTAGCATACTTTCCATGGAAACTCTGCTCAGGCCATCCTTTGCCACAATACTGGCTCCTACTTGCTGAGGTGAGATTAAGACTTCCATAATATTTTATGACAGAATTGTTAGCCCCAGGGATATCTCATTTCCATAGTTAGCCACCTAAGTTATCACAATTACATATTTGATCCTGACTTAAGATGGAGATGGAAGTGTCCTACCCTTTAGACTTCTATGATACACTGTACTAGCTCTATTCTTTAGAAGAGCAGATGTATCTCAGTTAAGAATGTAAAGCAGTTGTGATCATTTTCACATTCATGCTATTGGGACAGGTAATTGGAAGAAAGAAGAGAGGAAATTATCTTAACTTTTGATTTCCTTTAATACCTAGCTTGTATTCAAAATGGAACATCTAATAGTGCTGATTGTGTATACTTCATTAGGCTGAATTAGTGGAGCCAGGTGTTCCAAAGGGTTTGTTTATATTAGCCATTTATGTGAATAATTATATTTTTGATTAGCCTGGGTAAATAGATAGGCAGACAAACATATTTACATATATATGATCACTTTTGTGGCAGTTAGGCCTCCTAGTCACTCATTTAACCACTACCAACCGACTACCACCAATAGGCAAGTAAACATAAGCTCCCAGAATAGCAGTGGCCCCCATGACCACAATCCTCCATCTAGAATGGACCTGAAGCCATCATCCAGGGGAACAACCCCTATGGAGAGGCAGCCCACCATCCTTACCACTGATAGGACAGGCAAGCCAACCTAGCCAAAGAGGCATTGTGGGACCCTGGGCCCAAGAGTCCTGGGAATAGCTCGCTCTCTCTCTCTCTCTCTCTCTCTCTCTCTCTCTCTCTCTCTCTCTCTCTCTCTCTCTCTCTCTCTCTCTCTCTCTCTCTCTCTCTCTCTCGTCTTCCGCCCCCCTTCTCTCTCCCCCCTCATATCACATACACATACCGTGAAGACTTTATTCTCATTCCCACGGTCCCACTGGCACTGTCAAATGCTTCAATGTAAGAACCACATGGTCTTATCAATGGAAATAATGTAAAGAAGCAACCTTGCTCTCTGAGCCTAAGAATTATGGGACCTTTCCTTTTCACTTGCAGCTGAACCCTCCTTTGTGTCTTGTTTTTCTCGAGTAGAATGTAAGTTCCTTGAGAACAGGAACTGTCTTTTCTCTTTGTATCCCCAGTGCTTACTTAACACAGTGCTTTACACATAGTAAAGACTTAATGCGTTTACTCCTCCGATCCATTCTTTCACTCATACACAAGATGGTGGAATATTAGTACCCTCCTCGTACGAACTGATATAATTTAAAACATCTGACCCTTTTCCAGCCAGACTCTACTTAACATGTTCCTCCTCATACCCCTGATGTTACGAAAACGAAACAATCCCTGCCCTCAAGGAGCTTACAATCTCCTGTGCCAATGCAACATGTGGACCAATTAAGTATGAAACTGGGTAACGTGAAGAGGGAGAAAGTATGATGCTACGTGACTGCCTGGCAGGGATGTGAAAAGATAGATTAAGAGACCTCTCAGGTCCCACCCAAGTCTTAAGATTCTAAATTATGTCACCCTTATGTTATGCAGCAGAAGTCATCCTAGGATGAAAAGACGTAGTACAGTTAGAGCTGTTCCAAGGCACATGGCAGAGACTGCAAGAAGGCTGTGGGAGTAAAATAGAGACATCCAAAAATCCTGCTTATTGGTATTTTTAGTACTAATTCTCTTTTTCTCTTCCTAGAATAATCCCAGCAATAAACTGGTGAGCACTAGCAACACAGTGACGGCAGCACATATAAAGAAATTCACCTTTGTCTGCATGGCTTTGTCCTTGACGGTAAGATGTCTGTGTGTGATGGTTTACAGAGTGGACGTTTATTTTATCTACTAGTAATCCCATATCCCATCATTTAGCCTTTTGTAGTAAGATAATTGACAGCCTCTTCTTTCATTTTTCTTCCTCCTGAAATAGTAACTTAATAGTCTTGTCTTTAAGGAAGAGAGTGACTATGAGAACAGCAGACTATGAATGAATAAAGAGGTCCACTTTTAGACCTTTCAGTCAGTTCGCATTCTCTTAAGAAAAGCAGACCTCACCTTCACTTTGCTTCATAGTGTTCCCAGGCTAGATGCACAGTTATTGTGTGAGTAGTGCATATAAGGTGATTAGTTTGAATAATTGTTCACATTCACACTGCATGTTTCCATTGGGCTGGAACAAACGACCATGTTTTGCATAATCATAACTTCACATCATCTGAATTCTAATACATAGGACCACTTCACAGGTTTTTGTTTGTTCACACCTGTAATATCATCAGTATAGAGATCTCCCTGGAGAAAACTCCCTCTACTAAAGCAAATCAGCAGCCATTGTGAAACTTGGGTTTTTCGAGCATTGTCTAAAGACGAAGAGCTAGAACATGGCTTTTCTGGACTTTGGAGCAAGCTTTATATCCACTACACAACCCTGCCCCCTTGATAACTCCTCACCTGGGTTTAAAAGTACAATGTCCATTTTATAACTTTCCATATTCCTTCTCCAGATTTTGTTAGGGTTATTTGAGTTTCTATGGTGGAACTTTCCTATCTTCCTGACTCCACTTGTACTGATGTGGCTGACCTCTCTTTCCAAATGCAAAAACAGATCATGTTCCCTAGCTAGAAAAGGATGGCACACTAGACTAAAAATCAGCAGATTACATTCACAGGCTATAACACTAATTCATTGTCTGGCCTTAGATAATCATTTAGCCTTTCTATACTTTCATGTTCTCATCTGTGAAATGAGGATGTCATTTTCCATTATCCAAACTCAGAAATCAATCAAAATGAATAAGATGATATTGAAAATGCATTGAAAATGTACTGTCTTCAACAAAGATCACTCAGAATGTTTTTTATGAAATATTTATATGTATACCAAGTACCTACTATACACGAGGCATTGTACTGGACATAGGAAATAAAGGCATGAAAAAAAATCCCCCTGACCTCAGGGAGCTTACAGTTTACCAGGGAGGAGGATGAGAGGGTCGATGTGTGTGTATTTATGGATGTGTATGTACATATATGTGTATGTATAGACACACAACTGTATAGGGCAAATTAGATTGAAATAAGTACATAGGAGTAGGCAAACAGACAAAGATGCACGAGATTTGGAGGAGAAATAGATCGACTCTAGATATGGAGTGGGGGCAGAGAAGGGTGGTCAGAAATGTTGTCAGGGAAGATATCATGGAGACATCTGCTGAGCTGGACCTTGAAGAAAGAGAAGGATTTCACCAGGTGGAAATGGGAGAGGATTCCAAGGCAAACTTGGGAAATGGTGTGTGCAAATGTATGGAATTAGGAGCAGACAGGATGGAATTAAGTAATGTAGAACGCTGAGCCTAAACTCTAAGGGAGATATAAAGTTTAGATAAGACAAGTCTCCTGGCTTGCAAAACTGGAGGTAAGGGTACTAGTTAGAAGCTTTTATAATAGTTTAGGCAAGAGGTAACAAGGTCCTGAATTAAGTTTGAGAATAGAAAAGAAGGGACAGACAGGAGCCATTCAGAGGGAGAATCCATGATACTTAGTATACAGTAGTCTGGTGGAAAGGAGTCAGTGGCAAGGGAAAAAGAAAGGTCAGTTAACTTGCAAATTTTGCAGAAAAGTCAAAGGAGGAGAAAAACCGAGGAGACAATTGGCTTTGGTGATATACACACATACACACACATATATATAAGGTGTTTATAATTATGAAACAAATAGGACAAAATAAATATTTTTTCTCTTAAATCAATCAACAAGCTTTTATTAAGTGCTTATTCTATGCCAGGAACTGTTAGGTTCTAGGGCTAAAAAAGACAAAAAATCCCTGCTTTCAAGTAGCTTACATTCTATTGAGGCAACATTTAGTTTTGAATTCAATTTTGTATCATTTATGTGTGTGTTTTTAACACATGGTGTTTAACATTTCTTTGTGTCTTCATCTATCCAGATTTTCTATTAGTTTCCTGTGAAAGATTCCACTTTGATTTGTTAGAAAACATTTAAAATAGATGCAATGAGTGGTTACATTTTTGAAGCATTGTCTGCAGATCTTAGATCTAGTTTATAATAAATATTAGAAGCCAGAGAAGAATTCTCTTCAAATTTTTGATCAGTGCCTAAAAGAACACAATGTATAACTGGATCCATGGTTACTGTTTTCAGATGATGCTAGTTACATATGCATGTGACAACTTTTAAAAATAATACCCATTTTTCTTTCCCAATTCTGTTACTAACACTCCCCATGTTTCTCTGTATCAAAACAAGTACACTCTTTAACTTGGGATCCTCTTGGCAATGGTTGAGGAAACATTTGGCAGCCTAAATAGTACTGAATAAACAGACAATTTTGATTGAGGTGGGGAGCAGAATTTAATGATGACCAGTGAACATATGGATTTTTTGTGGGGGTGAGGAGAGACATTTTTTCTCAATATAAAAATACGTGTGATTAGAATTACTTTTATAAATTATAAATGTGATTCTTAATAGTAACCCAAAGAATATTAAGACACACAAGTATATCTATAAATAGGATGGGATTGAACTACCCTTCCTAGGACCCAGTTGGGTACTATCTTGAACATGAGGATATAGGCAAGTCCCAAATTTAAAGAAGGGGAGAGGGAAAGGCAACAGAGGGGGAGAAATGAGAGAGAAAGAGAGGAGAGGGAAGAGAGAGAGAGAAATTTGGGGGGGGGTAAGTAAGAGACCTCAAAGTGGTAGCAGCATAAGTGGAGAGAAGGGTATAGATGCAAGAGAGGTGGAATTAACATGACCTGGTCACTGATTGGATACCTGAGGTTAGGGGGCATAAGAATTCAAGGTAACTCCAAGGTTATGAACTTGGATGATGAAAAGGACAGTGGTGCCCTTGTCAGAAATAGGAGAATTCAGGAAAGACTTGTATTTGAGGGGAAAGATAATAATGAGTTCTCTTTGGTACAGGCTGACTTTGAGATGCCTCGATTTAGCTTAGGAGACAATTAAGATCATAGATGTAGAAGTGGAAGAGACCTTAGAGGTCATCTAGTCCAACTTCATTGTTTTGCAGATGATGAAACTGAGCCTTAGAGAGGTTGAATAGCTTGTCCAAGGTCTCACATATAGTAAAGTGCAGAGTTGGAATTTGAACTGAAGTTCTTCAACTCCAAATTTGGTGTTCTTTATACTATCCTAGCCCAGAAACTTAATCTAGTCCCATGACTCATTGAAGCCCACTTATCTGAGATTTATTGTTCTGACAGAAGCTCGTCAAGTAAGGGGCACATTCCTTGCACCTATGCAGCACCCATTCCACAGAGCTAGAAAATATCACAGTGTCAGCTGACAACTATATTGCCAAGCATATCTAATGAAGCAGGCAGGCTCCTAACCAAATTTCTGTCCTTGCCATCATCATGTGAGGCATTTAACATGTGTTAGGAAAGCCCTTCAGAACCTAGACCCCACATAAGCAAGGTTAGTTACACACACACACACACACACACACACACACACACACACACACACACACACACACACACACGTTTTTTGTCCCTGTAATGAACTTTAAAAGAAGAGGGTGGGGAGCCAGCTTAAAATTACTTACCAAAATAGACAAAGCATTCACATTGCTTAATGTAATTTGCTCATTTAGCTTTGTCTAATGTCATTTGCTTATTACTAGTTTGTATTCTGCCCTCGCCCCCTTCATCTTTCACTGACTCACATGTGTGCCGTGTTGTCTGTACAGATTAGAATGCTGTGTCACAGAAGAAACTTGATAATGTGTCTGTCTGAGTCAGCACCTGTTACCCCAGGCGACCTTTAGTTCTCCACCCTGTCCCCTACTGCCTTCCCATTTTGGGGGTTTTTTTGCATCCTGCAGTATTTTAGGAGAGTGTTGGGGGGAGGGGGAAGAACCTTGTGATACTAAACCACTAAAAAATAGTTCTATGAAGTAAGTATTGGCAAAACATTAAAATCTTGTAGATGCTAGGGGATTTTTAAGAAAAAACTAGGAACCCTTCTGTTCCATGACCCAGCCCCAAGCTTTTGGAAGACTGTGTTAAATGACAGGAGAGCTAACATTGGGTCTACGTGTATACTTCCATGATTTAGTTCCCATTGGATCAACTCAACAAACATTTATTAAATGCCTGCTCTTTCGGAAAAGGCATTGTGCTGACAGCCCACAAAGTGAGTCTTCTAGAGCTGATCATTTTTCCACTCACATTTTATGCTATATGCTTTCCTCTGTCCCCATCCCAATCTCTTGCAAAAAAAAAAATTCTTTAAGGGAAAAATATTCTGCAACACATTTGAGTTTTAAAAGGACTTTTTAAAGAAATCTAAACACTCTAATAGTTCCTATCTAAGTACTTTTTAAAAAAATCCAATCCTATAATTAACATTGATAACCAAATATGTTGTTAGGGGAGAGAAAAGCCTTTCACTATGGAAGCAAAAACACATAATTTTAGCACAAGAAGGAATGTTAAGTATTATATGGTACCCACTATCCTGATTTATGTTTCTATAACAGACTTTGATTTCCTTATTTGCAAAATAAGGAAATCGAAGTCTGTTACAGAATCATAAAGAGAAAAGGAATCTTTTAAGCTATCCAGTACAATTCTCTTTACAGGTGAGAAATTTGAGACTTAAAGAGGCTAAGATTCTTCCCCAAGGTCATACAGTAACCAGATTCTGTCTCAGTCTACACTGCTTTGAGAGGTCGTCTAGTCTATCCACTCTCTGCAGCCTGAAATTGCTTATAAAAATTGTCATTACACATATAGGACAGGATCTATG